CCGGGAGCATTTTTGACACCCGATCGCCTCAGTGCCGCCGGGCACTCGCCGCTGTGAGCAGAGCAGCCCGGAGGCGCAGGGGTGACGCTCGGGCTGTGCTGTGGCACTCCTGCCCTGCCCGGGGGCGAATATCACTGTGCTTGTGTAAAAACGCTCTTACATTTGTCTCGCATCACTTCCCTGTGTCCCCCATTACAGGATGTATCCAACATCTTTTGGGGGTCAGATCGCTGGCTGCCGAAATAAGAGGGACCTGAGTGTCTCRTGAGTGAGTTTCAGATGTCCCCTGCCAGCTCTGGCCTCGCTGGCACCAGTGAGGTGACACTAGCCAGGCTGACACTGTCCCTTCCCTCTGGGCTCAGCGCATCCTCCTGGGCTCCCTGCCTTTCCCAGGCACATCCCCGGTGCTTTATCAGCCCTGGGAGTGTGGAGCAGCAGCATGCCCTGGCATGGAGTGTTAACGCTTTCACAGGCCCACACACAGCAGGCACTGAGCAAAGACCCCTTTTTATCCATAACAAGTTCTATAAAATGAAGAATTGGTGTAAAAGTGGCCGCATTTCCAGAGGTGCTAAGGCCTGGCTGCTGAGCAGCATCGCAGTGCCCGTGAGGAAAAAAACACATTATAAATCAGAACTGTGTGGGCTGCCTTCTCTCTGCATGGATGGGGAACGCTCAGGAATTGCTCTCCTGGGATCAGCCTCAGTTTCCAGCTGAGCACTGACCACCTCCAGGGACGGAGGATTGTGCGGTGGGGCAGGGTGAGGGGGTTGTGAGAGCAGGTTCTGTGTGTGAGGCTGAAAAAAGAAAACTGTTCCTGGCCCCGGCAGCCTCCTCTCCCAGCTGCAGGCTGCCCAACCCACATCCACACACTGCTCACCAAATTTCAGCTTTCCTCAGCACTTCGAGCTCACAGCCCAATTTTGTTCCGTCAGCTGTATTATTAATCAGCAGGCTGCAAATTATGTTGCTGTAACCCACGTACTTTTTATATTTTAAACTGAAAATGAAATAAATTGGTGCATAGTAAACAAATCCCAGCTTTCTGGCAGCAGCAGGCGGCTGAGCGAGGGGAGCCCTGGGGGATCTGGGGCCAGGACAGGTGGGACCCCAGAGAGAGACACCTTGTCCCGGTTGGAGCCCTGGTCAGCGGATTGGGATAACCAGGGAGGGATTGTCCAGCCAGGCTCCCTGGGATCCCAGGGTGGCAAACACACCCCCATGAGATCATCCCCTCCTGTTCCTCACCCAGCGCCCTCTGGGTCTGTGCAGCTGGGATGGAAGACCCCAAACACCCCCTGCCTGCTCCCACACCCCACATCAGGGAATGGAGCTGGGGAAGGGTCTGGAGCCCCAGGAGCGGCTGAGGGAGCTGGGAAAGGGGCTCAGCCTGGAGCAAAGGAGGCTCCGGGGGGACCTTGTGGCTCTGCACAACTCCCTGACAGGAGGGGACAGCCAGGGGGGTCGGGCTCTGCTCCAGGGAACAGGGACAGGAGGAGAGGGAACGGCCTCAGGCTGGGCTGGGGAGGGGCAGGAGGGACACTGGGGAAAATTCCTTCATGGAAAGGGCTGTCCAGCCCTGGCACAGCTGCCCAGGGCAGGGATGTGGTCCCCATCCCTGGGGGGGTTTTCAAGCCCTGTGGATGTGGCATTTGGGGACATGGGTCAGTGGTGGCCTGAGCACTGCTGGGAGTGGCTGGACTCGATGCTCTGAGGGCTTTTCCAGCGCCAGTGGTTCTTTGATTTCAGAATCACAGAACCCCCACATCGCAGCCGCACAGAACCCCCCAGAGCCGGGCACAGCCCTGGTCATTGCTCAGCCTCAAACAGAGTGAGCATCTCTCCAAACACGGGCTGCGAGAAAAGGACAACATGAAATATTTAAAAAGCTCCTTTGACTTCCCAACCTTTCGTGCAGAGAAAGGACGGGCACGAATGCCGAAGGAGAGGCTGATTGATGGTCAGAGCAGAGCGAGCCTCCCGTGTCCGGGTTTCATATTCAAGCCTTCATAAAGGTCAGTTTGTATTTCTAGCACATGGAACAGAAATGCCATTTAATAATGCATATACCTTTGGAGCCCTACCTGTTGCTGGGAGGTGAGGGCTTAGCAGGGCTCTGGCACGGCTTGGTGGTGGTTTGCACGTCGGTGTGAAGCCGTGCTGGAGTGGTCCAGCTGAGTTAGCCCTGGGTTAGTCACTCCTCCGAAACCACTCTGCCTTTGCACTGATGCCATCAGGAAAAGATGAAYTCTCCAGGGGAATGAGTGACAGCAATGTGTGATCGACTGCCCTGGAGTCATATTAATACACAAGAATAAAGTGGAAATTAAAAACAGCAGGACAGAAAAGTGTTGTGAGTGCCAGTCTGGGGAAATAAAACCRCTCTGGCTTGCTGTGCGCGCTGTTCAATCCTTCATGCTCGCTCTGATGTCTCCCCTAAGCGTTATAAATCAAACTGATAGTTAAATATTGGTGTCTGGGCAGGTAAAGCCTGGCTGGTGGGGGCAGGTGCAGGGAGTGGGGCAGCCTGTGGGTCGTGGTGCTGCACCACAGGAATTGCCGGGGCACGGTGCCCTTGCCCATCCCGCTGTGCCTGAGGCCATCACACCAACCTCCAGCCCTCCAGGGCAGCCATCCCCCCTTTCCTGCCTCTCCTCACCTTCAGGACAGGTGCTGGGTGTGGGCTGGTGCCTATCAGAGGGATGGCTCAGCTTTGTGTCGCTGCAGCAGAGCCGCTGTACCTGAGGGTCCCCCTGCCCTGCCCGCAGCAGGCGTGGCACCTGGCTCTGGGTGGACTTGGGTGGCCACCACTGGACACCAGGGCACGAGCCAGGGCCCTCCCGTGGGCTGTCTTCTGGGGAAAGGGCTCCTCACAGAGCCTGCAATTGGAATCAGGAGGGGGAAATGTTGGAGCACAGGATCTGCCAGGCACAGGTGCAGCATTGCCCCCAGCCCTGCTGGCTCCCCCAGTGAAGAATGGGGAGCTGCACCGAGGAGGAGGAGGGCTGGGACATGCCTGGGAGCAGCACTGGCCCGGGGCTGGCTGATGGGGCAGAGGCCAGCACAGAGCAGCAGGTGCGGGGAATATGGGAGGGGGCAGTGGATGCAATGTCCACACACAGAGCTCCTGGACTGGCTCCGTGTGGTGAAAGCGGCGTCGCAGAACAACCCGTGCACTTGTTATTTATTGCACATCTTTGTTCCTGCTCTGTGCCCGCACAGCCTGTCCCTGCTGCCCTGCTCCCATTCCCACAGCTGCACCCAGGCACCCTGAAATAACAGGAGATTCACTCCTGACTCCACTTTCCCACATTACTCATGGTTTAGTGCTGGTACAAGAGCGCCCATCTCCCGCCACACCAGGGTGAAAGCGGCGAGTGTTGCCACTCACCAGCTGCGAGGGATCCCAGCCTGCTCCTTCCACCTCACCGGCAGCAAAACTAGACAAGAACAAAGCTTCTGATTACCCAAACTGTCATCAATTTACCATCAACTTCCTTGAAGGTTTCCTTTTCCTTCTGTTCTATTAAACTGACCTAAAACTGCCAAGGCGAAGAAGAAAGATGAAGTCTCTCTCACGTCGTAGGCAGCCACCTTTGCAAATCCTTGGGAACAAGCTTGTCACAACTTCCTGGCACCGGGGGAAGCCTCCAGAGCAGCTCTTCTCTGCCCGCCCACATTTCCCATCTCTTTTCACCTCCTCTGTTATTTTTTACATGTGCTGCACCAGCCTTTACGCGCTGAGAACATCTGGGAGCAGAGGCAGGACACCCTGAGGTGACCCTCCTCCCAAATCCATGTGCTGGGGCCTCCAGGGATGGCCTCAGAGAGCCCAGAGTGTGCCAYAGTCCTGCTCTGTCCTGGTTTAGGAGGCAAGGCCTGACCCCCAAAAATCTCCCTCCCGCCCTGCATCCCTCCCTCGCCCACCACCCTTCCCCGCTCACTGCACCAGCCATTTACCCCAGAACCCCGCTCATTAATGAAAGCTCTAATTAACAGCACRGTCTGTGCTGCTCCTAAGCCCCAGAGCTGCAGGTCCAGCCCCGGACACCGGAGCTGCGATGGACGGGGAGAGCCCAGGAGAGCAGGAAGGCAACACAGGGGTCTGCAGCTCCACAGCTCTGCAGTGCCCGGCTCAGCTACTCCTCTGACTGTTCCACACTAGAAACCCAACTACAAGGAAGGAAACAGATGGAATTATTATAAATCTGTTTATTTCTCTCTAAAAGCAGAGGCCTTTCTCTCGTGAACTGGTGTCAGACMCAGATGATGCCCGGGTTAAGCAGCACCATCCCAAAGCTGCTGTTCCCCCAGCCTTTGGAGCAAATCCCTTGCCATAGATCCCAGCTGAGCTCTAATGAAGGAGCTGTCCCAGGAGCAGCTCACCTGCTCGTCTGGGTGTTCCTGCGCTCTCCCAGCTCCCAGAGTTTGCATTCCTGATTGTTTGCAGGACCGAGCCTGCAGAAAGCAGCCAGCTGGGTTACCCACTGCACKGACTTTCACAGGGCATTGCTCCAAATAATCTGGGAGAAGCATGGGAAGCAGAAGAGAAATGAAAGTGGGGGTTAGTCATGGCCTTCCTATTTATTCGTAGATTATTTTACCCATTAATTAAAACCGAGCATGCCTCAGAACGGGCACTGCTTCCCTGAGGTCCCAATTAAGCAGGATGGCTTTGCAGCAGCCTCAGTGGGCATGCGAGGGGCTGGGCAGGGGCACAGGGACGGATGGATGGGGATAATGAAGGAGCTCTGGACATGTGCAGGCAAAGCTCTCGAGTGACCTTCAGCAGCCCGTTTTGGGCAGGCTGGGCGGCGAGTGCCAGGAGATGCTATCTGCTCCGAGAACAGCCCAGATGAGGCATCCTCCAGCCCTTTGTGCTTCAGGTCCAACGCCTTGGGAGCGTTCCAGCCTCAGGAATCACCACAGCCAACTKCACTGCAAGATAAATTCCTGTTCTACTCCCCCAGGACTGGCCATTTTCCTGCATTGCTGTTCTAATTGCAGAGGGTAGTTTAAAGCCCAAGAACCTGTTTTGGAAAGGGTGGAAGCTGTCCAGCCTGCCAGCCCCTCTGATCCCCAGACATGCTGAAGCTGAGCAGGATTTTTCTGCATTATCCTTGTGGCAGGGGGCAATTTGAATGCACAGCTCGGCCCCAAACCCCAAAAAGCTGGCATGGCAAGGGGTCAGGGAGCTGACACCGATGACAACCTCCCTGCAGAGAAGTTGCCAGCCCAGCACTGACAGCAGCACCCGGGTGTCTCACAGGGAGCGTGTTTGAGATAATGCCCAAGGTAGTTTGGGAAGGGAGCTTTTGATTGATGCTGCTGTGCCTTTTCTAGAGGGTCTCATCTGGGAACCCACGAGGGCCAGGCAGGCAGCAATGCAGAGCTGTGCTCTTCCACCCCGAGCTGAGGACATGCAAACACCCTACACCCAACCCCACCCCTTATCCAAACCCCACTGCTGGGTGCTTACTCTGGGGGATGAGGGACCATCACAACAACTTCCACGCCAAGTGTGAAATTCGCAAACAAAACTTCAGGAGTTTTTGTGGACTCTCTGATTTTATAGCTCCTTTGAACCAGGAGTCCTTACAAACCTTAGGAGCTCCCTTCCCCAGAGTGTGGGATGTCCAGCAGCCCAAGGATGGGTGTGGGAGCAATGCTGCGGGTTTCTGGCACGAGCAGCCAGCAGCACCCTCAGCTGCACCCCCCAAAAGCATCAGAAAATTTGTCTGCTGCTGAAGGGCTAGTGATGGTCAAGCTGAGAACCTGGCCCTTTCCCCCAGCCACATGGCCCTGGGCAAGCCCTGGTCATTGTTGGGGGTTTGAGCCCCCAAAGCAGGCACGGTACTCGGGGCAGGGCTGAGCCCCGTGTGTCCTCAGTCCCTGCAGGAATGCTGCAGCTGCGTGGGACATTTGAGCTGTTCCTCAGCCTCTCCCTTCCCAGGTGACGGCAGGCAAAAGTGTCACTGTCCTGGGACAAAGGGGACAAAGCTGATCGTAGGGATCCCCCCCTCTGCCTGTGGTTCACCTCTCGGTGCTCCCCAAGAAAGGCAAGGACAGTCCCACCAGGACAYTGTCCATCACTGGACAATGGATGGGCCAGGGCTGCCTTTATGGGAGCTGAGGGAAGGGACAGCCCCAGCTCAAAGCGACATGTGGAATCCTGCAGGATTTCCCTCTGCTGCCTTTACCTCGCTGCCCTCCCAAATTCCCTGACATCTCCAGCTCCATCTCCATGAACCAGAGCAACCAGTGGGGTCACTGGTGCCAGCCAGAGCCTTTGGGCTGGAGCAGACCCCAGGATGGAGGTGAGAGAGGCTGGACACCCTGCAGCTGACCCTCAGCACGGCTGAGGCCACCGGACCAACGGTGAGGAGCAGGAAGGCACTGCAGCGATTTTCTATGTGCAACAGATTAATCTGGAATTTTATGTTTCCAGCCAAGCAAATTGTGTCTCCTCTGAGGAACTCTGTACATCCTCTGTGTGGTTGGAGCTCGCTGCTCCCACCAGCTGAGGCTGCAAAGGAGAATGAGAGATTGGAAATGCTCCCATGGAAAGGCTGAGGAGCTTTGTGGCTGGGTGCTGCCATTAATCAAGATAATTCATGTAAGAGAGCCGTTCGAGTGATATTAGGCTCAGCAAGAGCAGACAGAGAAAATTAATTAAGGCTTTAGGAGTATAAAGAAGACTCCTGAAAATACAGATCAGATTTCTGGTGGTTTCTGTGGGCACATATAGGAAGCCAGAAAACCAGAGGGACCGAGGACCTGGAAGTCCAGGGCATATCTGGGGGTCAGAGCACGGAGGATTTGGTGGCCACTGTGAGCAAAAAGGACCCCTCAGTGGCTGGACCTGGGTGAAGGTTGGTGCAAAGGCACATTTTTATAATGAAGTGGTTCATTTAGAGGTTCCTAAGCACCCTTTTTGTGRTTGCTGGGGTTCACTTGCCTGCCCCTGAGGCCGGAGACAGTAATAAATTAAAATTCACCATCTTTGCAAGAGCCCTCCCTGCAGCCACCCCTGGCACCACTGCCCAGGTCCCCTCCCCATCATCCCCCAGATGTGGATGCAGAGAGGAGCCAGAGCTTCAACCCCTGTCCTCGCTGCTTTTGGGGTTAGGAAACATTTGGCAGATCTTTTGTATCACCCCACACCAGGGTTAGATGAGAGGGAATAAAACCAGGGGAGAGCAAAGGATAAGACGTGCTGCTCAAGCCATCTTATCATCCCTCTGCCACCTCCCTCTGTGCTCTTTGTGCCTTGAAGTGGCATTTTGCAGAGATGGAAAAAATAGGGATTGTCTTCCCCAGCCACCAAGGGAAGAATTCCCTGCGTGGGCTCCCCATCCTTCCTGCAAGGCTGCCTGGCTGCTTCCCATGCTGCCAAAAGCTGGGACCTCGGCTCTGTTGGGATGGAAATATCCCGCTGAAGGCAGATGAGTGCAAATACTGAAACCAGCATCAAAACAGCTCACGGCTGCAGAGAGCTGAGCAGAGCCTTCCAAAACCTGCACTTTGAGCTTCATCTGCTCCAAAAGTTGGCTCTACAAAGCTCTGCAGGTCTGCATCCCCCCCACCTCTGCACTGCGTGCTTCCAGCTTTTAAATAAAAAACGCTGTTTTGCTGTTTTCTGATGCTTCTGATAATATTTTGCAGAGCGTCTCCCCTGTGCTCTGTTTCCAGGCGATCTTCCCAAAGCTTGTAAAAAATCTGATTATGGGACTGAGAAACAACATCCAAGGGAACAAATCYGAAGCTRAAGTGGGAGAAGCACAGAGGCACATGGCTACACATGGGGAAGAGCTCCTGCAGCAGCATCTGCACGGGATTTGGAGTCAGGGAGACACAGAAATGGTGAAATTTTAATTTTTCACTTGCTTCCCAATCCTTYCCCAGTTCTGGGCACAGACACCTCAAAGCCCCARTCAAAAAGAACCAGAGGAACCAGARGAGCTGTRCAAGCATGGAGAAAAACCCCAAATCCCAGAAAACGCACATCCAGTGTGCTCAGACAAGGACCCAAATTAAAAGACGCAAACGGTAACTGAACCAACACCCATGGAAAATTCAGCACTCTCACCCCCACTGTCCATGGCCCTACAAATGGTGGCACCAAATTCCCTGGAGCAAAGCTGCATTCCTGGCAGCAACATCCCTGGAGCAAAGCTGCATTCCTGGCAGCAGCATCCCTGGTTGAGGAGACACCAGAACGAGGAGGGAGAGTGGGTCTGGCTCAGAGGAGAGCGAGAAATGGAGAAATGCAGGGCCAGGGCTCGCACAAAGCAGCCCCCAAGGCCAGGCACAAGGACGAGGATTTCCTCAGCCAAGGCTGGATTTRAGCTGGATACGGAGAGAGGTTTCTTTCTGTTGCAGACAGAAGCATCAGGACTTCCCARGCTGAAGGGGCAAAGGTGAAGCCAGGTGGTTTTACTGTGGAGCTTTCAAGTCCACGAACAAAAAACATCACTCCTCAGAAAGGGATTTGCCAGGCGAGAGCTCTGGGGAGYGTGGGGAGGTGGCAGCCAGGGATGGAGCACCTTGTGCAGCCTTAACCAGCAACTCGAGGGATGGTCTTGGGAAGGGCTTGAATGCCCTGAGAGCTCATCTTCCTCTGGGCAATGGGATAACACCTCAGGAACCACTCAGGGCATTGAGGCACGAATCAYAAGAGAACCCCTCCCGGCTCCCATCGCAGCGCAGAGTATTGGGGACTTGAGGTGATTTGTGACACTTTGGGGGTGGGAAATGCTGAGCGTCTGGCTCAGGTGCTTGGCAGCTCGGCTCATTCCCGCACAGACAGAATCCCCATGAGCACACCACGGCAGGCGATGGAGCAGCCAAAGCACCTCAAACCCTGCAAACAGCTCCAGGAGGGAAGGGGCAGCCGTGGGGCCGGGTGCCACCGGCACAGACATCCCTCCAGCACCGCTATATTTTATTCATAACCCGGGGTCCCGCCCCACGGCTCGCTCCTCGCATCAGAGGCTGTTTAAATTTTAATTGGCGTTCGCGTGTTCATCCATCCCCAACCAGCTCCTGCCGGAGATGTTGCCATGGCACCTCCCCGCCTGTGCCCCGCGGCACCGCGGATCSTCCGCACCCCGCGGCAGCGTGCGGGGCTCGCAGCGGGGACGCGCCGGAGCGGGCTCAAACAGGCTGCGTTTGTGTTCAGTGCGTTTTAAAGAATCAGTGAAATCGCTGCTGTCCTGCCTAATTACCCACTTCATTATCAGCAGGGGAAGGAAGCGCTGAAACTCCAGCCGTTCCCGAATTTGCCTGGTTGCTTGGAGGGGAGGAGAGAGGAGCTCGGTGGGGCTGGCTCACCAGAAGAGCCCCGGCGCTGGGCTGGGGTGTATCCTGTGGCAGAGCCCCCAGGAATTCACCGCAGGAGCAGCCTTTCCCCAGCTGCTCACACTCGCAGTCCCCTCTCCCGCCCTTGGGGTGCTCCCGGGGCCGGTTCCCAGCGGGAAGCAACCCCTGAGCCTTTCTCTCCTCCAGCAACTCAGCGACAGCCAGAAGGAAACGCTGCTGCGAAGAATAAACACAAAACACAGCGTATCWCCAGCTTGTGACAGCCAGCGTATTATTTAATTAAAAAACTCTATTAAGATCAGTGTGATTTCCCAGAGGGAAAACATATTTAGATTATTTCAGCAGCTGATGCTCACTGCTGTTACTGTAAGGCGAGAAGCAGCTCTGCCCCAGACACCCTCTGCACCAAGGAGTGATGAGAGGAGGAATATTTTTAATGCCAGTTCTTTGTGCAGTCGGGTTTCAGAGCCACTTTCACGTTGGTGAGTCTTCCCAAGGGGCAGCACAGGCTGAGAATTTACAACCCATTTATTCAGACATGCTTAAACAAGTAACCTTCTCAACCCAAGGTTTTTTTTGGGTTTAAAAGCCTTCTGACTCGTAGGATACTGCAGGAATACATTACTGGGCATCGCTAAAGAGTYAGAAAATGTAATTTTGAGTTAAACTCATCTGAAGGCAGCTTGCTGCATCATCTAGAAGAGCTCCTTTCCTTACCAAGAAACTCATGCCCTGGGGACGACACATCATCCCGAATAATTTTAAGGAAAWAAACCTGGTTTATTATATTATCTTCAAAAGATGTGGGTCTTAAGCAAAGTATTCTAGAGAAATTAGAAACTCTTATGGCAGCAGCAGGGAATGAGGGGTCCCATTAATCCTTTAATTTCATTTATTACCTTCCTCCTTAGCAAGGGTGCAGCACGGGCTCGTTAGACCTTCGATCCAGGCTGCCAAGACGACCGGSACAACCACGCTCTTCCCAGATGGAAGCAGACGAGAGACTAGCAACAAACCTGCTCTTAATTAAACATTTGTCTTGCAATTACATACTTGTGCGTAATTATCGCCATCAAGACAAACACCAACTGGATTACAGCGAGAAAAGGCAGACAGTAAAGGTTAATGGGCCCTCTTCTCCCTTTGCAATTATTCCCCAGCTCTCGCAGAGGGAAAGGCAGGATGTCCAGATCGTCTTGCCACTGCAAGGAGGCAGCAAGCCCATTCAAGGAACAATTAGCCTGAGCTGGCAGACTCTGAGATCACAGTCTGAGAGGATGGATGGTGAATTCTTTGGGATCCTGCTGCAGGCTCAGTGCAGCCTCAAGCATGGCCCACTCCAGTGCTCGKGCATCATTCCCCTGCATTCACACCTTCCCGTGTTTTATTACCCTCAGGGTCCACGAGGGTAAACCTGACCCCACTGCTAAGGGTTCTACATCTCTCTCCACACTAACTAACCCAAATTACTTACTCCTCCCTTTCACCCACTCTCAGACATCCTCACACCAGTCTTACAGCTTCTCTTTAATTTGTCCCACCAGGCAACCAGAGCCTCACAGAGGAAGGGTCCAAGCCTCGTTCTCACCTATAATTAGGGGGCTGACTATTCAATTTCTAACAGTTTGGTAGACCCAGATCTTATCTCTATTTTTTGGCTTACTTTGCAATAGCCACAAAAATGGGTTCCTGCTTCAATCTGTGGTCTGCTGTGACCATCGGGTTTCTTCTGACCTACCACTGCCGGCCAGCTCATTCCCAGCCTGCTATGTGACTCATTCCCAACCTGCAAAGTTTCTCTTTCCCATGGATATCTGTGCCTGCCATCATCCCGGGACACGGCATGAGGAGAAGGGAGGAAGCATTTAGATGCATGAGGTAGGGAAGCAGAGATGTCTGGATACTGGATTTTAACAAATTTCAATGACACAGCACCTTGACCACCTGGATAATTCATCACATCCACTTGCAGCTGAGGAGAAAAGGATGTTCAGATATAATCCAAGAGTGACTAGACAGGCTTTTGGCACTCTTGTGCTCCTATAGTGGGTATTGCAGCACCTCTCAGCCTTCCTGACATCCCTRCATACCTGACACAGATGAAATCACTACAGAAAAACACACTACTAAAACAACCAGGATAATAAGGATTACTAAACCAAACATCTAAATGGTTTGATTAAATCTCAGATCTGCACAACAACCAAGTCATGCTTAGTGCTGGCCGTTGTTGCAAAGAGAGCTCTCCAGATGGAAGGTGCAGGTCTCTCCCTGCTCAGAAAGAACCATTTTGCTGCTTTAAGAACTAAAGGTTGCACATAGCAGCAGCCTCGGCGTGTTCCCAAAGGTTAACCTGACATGCTGGGCCACAGCTGAATTATTTATGATTAGGGGGCAATTTCTATCCAGGAATGAGCACACAGGTAGCGACCACCACGCCAGCAAATCGTACAAGGCAGCACAGCTCATGTCTGCGAGGCAGCTCATCCAGCTCCTGGCCTGCTCGGGCCACAGGGAAATTTAATTATTTAGGTTTCTCAGCTGCTGCATAAATATCAAACATAAGACATTAGCTCATAACAGAAATGCTGCTGCTCAGCACAGGGCAGGAGGAGCTGCATCAGCAGAGAGGAGTGAGTTGAGGCTGGCCAGCACAAAAAAGGAGATGGGAACAGGAGCTGAGCACCTCCTGGGAATAAATTGCCCCTGAAATGTGGGAAAAGAGAAAATAAAAAGGAAAAAAAAAAGCAAACCTTGGAATGGATCAATCCACAAAACTTCTACTAAGAATGAAACAGGTTTAAAAGAATGCCAGGAGAGTCCAAGCAGCTACAATTCATGAAGTGATGAAAAGGCCTGGGTTCATCACTTATTAGTCTCASGTCAATTAAATAAGATGAACAACAGAACAGGAATAGAAAAATAATTGTGTTGCTTATTCAGTGCTATGATATTCCACTGATTTATCTGCATTTAGTAAATCCATGAAGAATTGAGGAAGTGGGAAAACCAATTTTCCCAGGGCTATTCTCCATCAAGGACACTGAGACTGCAACCTGATACATTGAAATACAAATACACTTCATTGATTTTGATCCCAGCTTTCCAAAATACTGAGTTTTATTCAKCTTTGAAAGCAACACATGTAGAAATGAACGTGTTCCATGTTTCTGTCTGTACATACAAAATGTTTAAATACCTCTGTCTATACATAAACCCCAGTGTGTTTAAAGCTGTTTTGTTTAAACAAGTTTYCCTGCATTTTAATTGCATCCCAATTCCCAGGAAATTCTGTGTGACACAAAAGTTAGGTTAAAAAAAAAAGTAAAAATCAACCACTTAATAAGCCAGCACCATTGTTTTTGTACCTTATTGTGGAAAATGATTAGCCTAATTATGAGATATTAAGCTTTGCAACTGCTTAACTGTGTATTATCCTGGCTGTGACACACACATATTCCAAATTTCGCATGCAGGAGAAGGCAAGCAGACCTTTAACTGCAATCCCTGTGGTTCGTCTGGATTATTCAGTCCCACGAGGCACAGCATGCACCATCCTAGACAAAAGGTTTTACACTCTTTAATTCATTATTTTTTTAATTGAGAGAACAATTCAGAGGGTCATTCGATAAAACCTTACATGAGAGAGAAACCTTTTCCAGCTCAGAGACTCCTCTGTCACAGTCCTCAGTACCAACTACTTTCTTTACCCAGTTCCCTCACAGCTCTTGCCAGCTCTGTTCAGCATCAGCTCCCTGCAAGCAAAGATCCATGAATGACATGAAATGCTCCTTTTCTCTTCCTCCTCGTGGGCACCATGAAAGGGAACATGTGCTCTTGCAGATGGAAATCGCTGCCTCCTGAAACAACATGCAGCACTAAATACTCGGGGGTACAAGCTGCTCGGAGCATTGGTTYCTACAGATAATTATTTCCATTAGTGCCTTTTCAAAAGAGGAGTTAAGGAGAACAAAAAGATTCTTTTTTTTTTTAAACCGGCAAAACAGCAAAGCAGCAGGAGCAAAGAGCATTTTAAAAAACCAACTTGGTTTTGTCTCAACTTTTTGGAGGCCTGCATGGGTCTCTGAAAGGCACAAAAGCCAGCTCCCCTGAGACGTGTGGTGCCTTTCTTCTCCCGGGGAGCACAGTCCAGCAGCTCCATCAGTTCCTRCCAGGCAGTGCCGTTTTCTCACTGTCACACAGCATCTCTCCCCTCCTCCACCACCACAGCCTGCACAGGACTCAGTTTGATTTCTCAGTTTGATTTCTGACCATCAAGGCGGTTTAACAGACCTTTCATCTCAGCCCAAGACATTTACCACATCAAGATTATCACCGACATTTCGGGCTGTGTTTATCTAGACCAGCCCAGGAGGCAACTTCGCTCACCAAATACATATTCAACCATTCCTCCYGCTCTTCACAGCTCCCGCTGTCCGGGGGCGGGGGCAGAGAGCCACAGGGGTGGAATCACAAACTGAGGAGAAAGGATTAGGGCTGTGGGAAGATTACGGCTCCCTTCCTGTACATCAGGCAATTAAATTTGTGTTGTCTCAGTTTTATTCCTTTGTTCTCAGAGGCCGATAGCTGGGGGCTGGCAGGGTGTGAGTGAGCGCTGGGAGCTGCACACTGGCTGTGTTTTTGGAGGGTTTTACATCAAACCATCTGGCAGGGCTGTCTCCAACACGGGCTGGTTCCCAGCGCTGCAGCCACTGTCTGCTGGTGAGTGACACAGGGAGCTCTGGCCAGGCAGAAAACCGTGACTATCCTGCAGCAAAAAAAAAAAAAAGTAATCTTTTGAGGCAGCTCCTGGAGCCGAAGGTTTTGTCCCCAAAATGCTTTGCAAACACCAAGAAGCTCCTCCAAGACATGAGACAGGTGCTCACCGAGCTCCTGGGACACTGGGGAATTGCTCTTTTTCAGCTCCCAGGTCAGTGGGAGCTTTTGGAGGAGGAAAATTGGAAGGGCACAGTAAGTGACCACAATCCATGGGCAGGCTTCCTTGGGAGAAGGAAAACATAATGTTAGGACAGGGAATTAAAATAATGAGCACATTTGTGAGAACCTGCCTGAGGGAAAATAGTTTAGAAAATAAAGGACGTCATAGTAACAGACTGAAAGCTGTTAACCAACATCTAATTAAGCAAAATCTGCAATCCCCACAACAAAACAAGAAAAGGAGAAAAAAAAATTCATGCAGCAATCAAGCTTACCCAGACCAAAACAAGCACTAAGAAAATAAAAATTAAAAAAACCTGTTCAGTGACATCTGAAGAGAAAAACCCTGTCAGGACTTTACAGAGAGTAGGTAAAACCGGGGTTATGTTATATGCTGTCAGGTTTTACTTTTTAAGAGCCATCAGAGGCTAAAGGCAATCTCTAGGGTCCTCAAATACATTCCAATAGAATGCAGAGAAGAGACTTCAGCATGGATCTCAGCATTCCAGAGCAAAAGACTGAAACCCAAAACCCCAAAATGCAGCCACCACAAACACACACACAGACACAAAGGGAATCTAATCTTTTTATTGACAAACTTCAAAGATCATTTGGGGTATTTTGCACATTAAATTTCATATTAATGCTGACAGGGTACAAGAGGAGACATTTTAGATGAGATATTACAATAAGAGAAGATATAGGTTCATGAAAGGAAAAGAACACAGCTTTTCTTATCAAGACAGTTTTTATTACTTGCAGAGTTTTTATTTATTGCAATAGATCCACTCTGAAACTTACTAAACTAATAAGTAATTTGAAAGCAACCCTCTATAATAAAAGCTGTAATAAAGACTTATGTAAYGAAAACAGGACAAGTTTGACCTATATTTTCATGATGTCAACATTTTCACTTGAAAAACCCCTACTGCTCTACTGTTTCAGGCCAGTCTGAGGATCTGAGGGGAAAATCCTGGCTGCATGAAATTCCAGAACCACATACTAACAGAACTACTGATCATCAGACTAGAAATCTTTAGACCACCTCAGATCTTTCTGTTCAAAAGATATAGAAAACTCCAGAACACAGTTAATATATGAAGAAAGATTAAGAAAATCTGGAAATTTTTATGAAAGTTTGGGATGCTGAAAAAAAAAAATCAAGTACTTCCTTTGAGTAGCTAGAGAGAGTCTTAAACACAGCCTCTAATTCATAAACACAAAAGGAGCAAGAGAACTATTAACATGCAGAGAACTTCACTTTCATGTGCTGACCTGAAAATGTGATTAAATCTGCCTGTGCCCAGTTGCCTTTCTGGTTTGGGCTTGTAATTTACCAAAAACGAGTAGTTCCCCATAACTTCTCGAAACAAAACCCAAATAAATACTTCAACGTCATTTTGTATTGTCACTGCTAGTTTAGGGTAGATGCCTGGAAACCACTGCCTGGCCCTCACTAGTGTCTTTGAGACAAGAACACAGGCAGCAGGTCCCTCTCCTGGGCAGGCAGGCAGGGCAGCTCGTTAGCAGATGACRTAGCGGATGAGCTTCGAGCTGCGAACCTCTCTCAGCCTCTGGCAGTGCCTCAGGATGTTGAGGATGCTGTGRAAGCGCTTATCCAGCTTCAGCTGAGTGAACTCCTTGATATCAGCCTCCACAATAAAAAACATGCCTGGAAAACAAACAACGATTTTGTTACAGAAGTGACTCCGCTGCAGGACATACCTGGCATTTCACAAGGAACAGCACAGCCTCTTCTTCATGATTCCACAACCTATAATTCATAATTCTACAWTCAGCAGTAGGATGGCCTCACACCATATCGGAAACTTTGTTCTAGTTGTAAAATTTATCATCAGAAAGAGAATTGCCAGCCTTCCMATGAAGTTCAGACACTCTCCATCATCCACAAGTTCTACTCCATGAGTTCTGTCTCCCAGCAGGCACTCAGGTTCTGGAATTAGCTCTTTGTCATAATAACAGAGCCCTGCACACATCAGAGCTATGCAGCCCACTTCTCCCTTGATTTATATCACATTTGGAGAAGCACAATTTGCCATTACTTAAGAAAATGCYAGAAAAAGACGAACCATTTGCAACAGCATTATCCCTGTGTCTCCAAGAAAATGGCACAGTGAGGTCCTGCATCAGAGCTGAGAGCCCACCCTYTCTTGTAGTTGATTAATTACTTCCATAAGCAAATAGTCATTAAAATTCAGGCTGCCCAGGGCAGTGGTGGAGTCACCATCCTTGGAARCATTCAAAAAACCTGKGAATGTGCCCCTTGATGACATGGTTTAGTGGTGAACGTGGTGCTGGGCTGGCAGTCGGAATTTGTATCTTGCAGGCGCTTTCCAACCTGTAGGACTCCTAAATGATGTTTAGCATCGTGCTTCCAAACCTAATGAGGAGGACACAAGAGTAGGGGTGTTCCAGCTTAGAAAAAGAAGATAACATTCGCTTTCTTTGTTGTCCTTAACATAGAGGCAGCGACATCTTAGAAAAGATGGAGCACCTCTCCTTCCTATTAAGTTATCAGAGAGTCCTCCCAGTTTAACAGGGAAGTAGCTGATCCAAGCTGAGCTGCCAGTAAAGAATTAAGGTCCAAGGATTATGAGGGTAGTATCTGCCAAAATCTTGCTTAGGCAGAGCTGAGAAATAACAGATTGTGTTTTCTCACAGCCAGGGCCACTCATGAGAGATGGTAACACATGTGTCTCACAGGGAGTAGAATCTGCAGAGACAGTAACTGTTGAAATCTAGAGATCCTTCCCCAGAGAGGAGCTATGCTGGAATCTCAGAACTTGTAATGSCACCAAATCCACACGCAGATCAGAAGCTGGGAGTTTGTTTATTAGGAAAAGAAAGAGCTGCATTACTGCTCAAAATGGAACTACTGCATGATAGAAACCATTTACTACTTCCAGTAACACCAGTACATCCAAAGAGTGTTGGGAAGCCAGGGATAATCTGCATGCTGCCTTCACAGTCTCTTTACATCTGGGGGAGCATCAGAACATCCTGAATTTTGATAAAACCAAGATTCATTCTTATGTTTGCCCAGAATCCAGGGTGACAACATTCAGCATAGCATGACCTTTTTTGTGAAGAAACCAGAGATGGATGAAGGGTAGTAGTTTGGTCCATGCACTGAACAACCAGCTAAACTCACTGAGCCACCTGAGTGCCTGGAAGTGACCCTGATAAATCAGACACCATCTTCTCTTATCTTGAAATCAGAGAAGAGGTCAGCTGGCAATCAGCCCAGGCTGAGAACCAGTGGGAATCCTAAGCAGAGAGACTCACAGTGGAGATTTAAGCAAACAAATCAATGAATGCAGAACATCATCCTGAGAAGAGCAATGGATAAAGACATTTAATCATTTTGTGCTGACCAGATAAGAACCATCTGACAGCGTGCCAGGCCTTTTCTCTGGACTTTCTAGATGATTAGTCACAATAAAACCTAAACAAAACCATCTACCATACAAATACACACACTCTATCAGTAGTGCTGAAAGTCCTTGTTTCCCAAATAAGCTCTCCAAGACAAACAAGAAATAAAGATTGTTTCTCAGGTATTTGGAAAAAATGAAGCACATCAATTTTTCATACTTCAATCCTCCAACTTTCTGACAGAGAACTCTGACCAGCTGCAGCTTTCTGAAGTTGCTAGAATGATTTCTTCATTGCAGCCAAGGTTAGTGTGGATCACGGTGCAGACTGAGCACTGTCCCTTCAAGTATTCAGCCTCTCCTCTACAACCATGGGCTCAAACTCATTACTACTCATATCCTGTTCCAAGGATAGGAACAGTTAAGCTAAAATTATGTTGCAAATTAAAGGTGATGAAGGCAGTATTTTAAGAAATCTCAGACAAATGTAAGTGTTCTTCAACTGAGGTAAAACACGCTTTAAGAGAAACCAAACCATCGCAGCCCAAATAAGAAGCCACACACATGTATTTATCCAGCTGCAAGTGTTTAGAAGGCTTTAAATAAAACCCTTTGCAACAATAACCTTTGTATGACCACTGAGACCCCACCTGTGTCCTGCCCTGGGACAGCAGCATGAGAAAGACCTGGAGCTGCTGCAGCCAGGCCAGAGGAGGGCACGGAGATGCTGCCAGGGCTGGAGCCCCTCTGCTCTKGAGCCAGGCTGGGAGAGCTGGGGGTGCTCACCTGGACAAGAGAAGGCTCCAGGGAGAGCTCAGAGCTCCTTTTGGGGCCTAAAGGGGCTCCAGGAGAGCTGGACAGGGACTGGGGACAAGGGCTGCAGGGACAGGACACAGGGAATGGCTTGGCAGTGSCAGAGGGCAGGGATGGATGGGATATTGGGAAGGAATTGCTGGCTGGGAGGGTGGGGAGGCCCTGGCACAGGGTGCCCAGAGCAGCTGTGGCTGCCCCTGGATCCCTGGAAATGTCCCTGCCCCCGCTATGGCAGGGGATGCAACGGGATGATCTTGAAGGCCACTTCCCACCCAAATCATTTCATGATTCTGTCTGTCTTACAGGTCTCAAAATAGAGTGCCAGCATGTCCATCAGATCAGAATTCCCTCCCTTCAGAATAGCTGCATTTAGAACCCAGAAGTCAATGATGTTATCACCATACTATAATATCCAGAGTCTTGAACAGCAACAAAACCAAAGAAAGGAAAGAAGAAAAAGTTGTAGTTTGTCATCAAGGCAAACTGAGTGCCCAGTGAACACTCAGGGCAGAAGTTCAAACATTTTGTCCCGGGCAAAAATTGAGAGATGGGCGCCATGGTGCTGTCAGAGAAAGCTCTTTTTTCTGTAGACACAAAGAGTTTGCTCCATTGTTTATGTCTGAACTTGGAAACATGAGGGCATTCTAAGGACATCACCAAGCTTGCCATGTGCAGTACACCCCTCCAGGAATAATTACATACTTGCTCTCGCGCAGGCCGAAAAGGAGATTTTAATATCAGAGATTTACCGTGCCACGTATTTTTTTTAAACTACCCTTTAAGTACAGCTTGCTTTTCAGTGGAAAGAATGATATTTTGATTGATTTTCACTCCCTCTTCATTTTTAAGAAGAGAAAACTTCTTAAGCTTATCAGACAGATCTGTCTCTTCCACAAAGGTATTGCAACACTATTAGCCAGATTGCCCAACTTCAGAACAAATTTTCAATAGTTCATGACCAATCAAGTTTAAAACCTGAAAATACATTTATGCGGTTTGGTTATCAAACTGTTGAGTTCAGAAAACTTAGTGATTGTAGTGATTCCCAACTAAATCTTTGTGCACTCAAAGTTTCTGCCACAACACAACATCAAAGACACAAGTTTTCAATGAAAACATTCAAAAGTGATCCAATCAGTATGGGAAACTGTTCAATCAAAAATACCGGAAAAAACACCAGTACTTTTATACCTCTCCTGCAACATCCAAGCATTATGAGTTCAGTATTAACAAAGGAAAAAAAACCTCAAACCTTTTGTATCCTTATTTTCTTCTTCCGTGAACCTGTGGTAGAGATTTCTGGCTGGTACACTCATAGATTTCAAAGGCTGATACATGATCTTGTACTTGCCCACCACGGCCTTGTTTATCTCTTGAACAACTGCATTAATCTGATCGTATGTTAGACGGCCCTTCATGTACCTATAAATAAAAAATAAGAATCAGTAACCAGAAAGTCACCAAGTTCCGTGTTTATTCTTCTCTTTTATTAGCCTTAACTGAACAAGCCATTCCTAGTTAGAGGCAGTTTCTTCTGCTTTGTGTTAATGAATACATGTAGTAGTTAATTCTGTTAATTTCCTTGCTTGTTTAAAAATCTTGAAGGTAAAAAGGCCATGACAGAACCTAAACAGAAAGAAAAAATATTAGAAAGTTGAATTAAGAAGCAGAATGCAGTCAGTGCTTAAGCTGTAAAAAGCTTTYCAAAATGGAATAAAAGTTGCTTTTATAGCGTACCACTTAAACTACAAACACAGAAAATTCAAGTAACTGCATAAAACAGCATGAAATGAAATGTCTGCCTAGGAGCACAATTTGGTTAATATTATCACCACAAATAACCTGTGTTTGATCATACAGCCATTTATTTGGAGCTTTTTGAAGAACTACTAGTTTTGTGTTGTCTTCTCTATTTGATTGTGCAGCCCACTGAGCTGTACAGATACAGTTCTGCACCACCAGCATCCATTTCTGAACTTTCAGAGCGTTTCATAATACTAGTACCAAAAGAATAAGATCTATTGATAACAGCCTAGAGGTACAGGAAGCACAGAAGATAAAGAACAAAGAGATGTGGAAATACTAGAACACTGGAATATCTGCAAGTAAGGCTATTCAGTATTTATAGATGTAAAGCCATGCCTTCAAGGAAAAGGAACTGTGCTGCAAACTGAGAAACCATTATATAAAAATGAAATCTGAAACTCAAATGACAAGCAGTAAGCTAAATACAACACAGACCCTCCCCAAAAATGGCAGTAAGAGCCAGGCCAGCCTTGCAACCTGAATTGTCCTGTGGCCTTCATTCAGTTGCTACAACAAACCAACCTGGCTGCTCCCATTTGGTTCAGTATCGGTTTGCAGATGTGAGGAAWGAGACAAGTGTCACAATTCATTTTAAGAATAAATGCAGGTGCCAGTAGAGCAGGTGGCTAAAAGCTGTGGGACAGCAAGTCTGAAAAGATCAGTGAACAGCAAATTCCTCCCTTGTTTTAATCTGAATAGACAAGCTCAATCTTTGGAGAACATACAAAGAATTTAAAGCAGAAGGACATAATCAATTACTAGTTCAGTATTCCAAACCAGAATCTGGGCAGGCATTCTACAATTGCCAATTAAAAAYAAGTGCTGTAAATTTCAACAGCAGCCAGCCCCTGCCACTAACAGGCCTGCAGGAGGTGTGTAAAAACTGGATTCAAAGCAATTACTATACCTCCAAAATGAGTTTGAAACTTGTTTGCTGCTAAGTCGCTTGTAGCCAGCTTTCAGCTTTGTTTATACTTCGATTAATTCAGTGTTGGAGGTGCAGCCATCCTGTAGTTATAAAAACGCTCTACATTGCACAGTAATGAAAGCAGCACTACCACCCCTGAAATGCAGCCACAGCACAAACACAGCCCGTAAGCATRGCAAGGCTTTGCCTGTGTGCATTAACTGCTGTTTATGGCTCTCTCTGCCTCCCGCGCCACAGGGGGATGCGCRGAGTGGGGAAGGCTAAGCCCAGAACTATAAAATACTTGTATTCAAGCTCCTGTGCTCCCACTGTCAACAKTGTACACACTAAATAAAGCCAAGGCAGCACCTCAGCTAAAGCTTAAACAGAGGGGCAGGACTGGGTTGCTAAACCTGAGTGCTCTTTGAGAAGCCCTCAGGCATCCAAGATGCTTCAATTTGAAACTAAACTGTCAAAACCAAATSGAATTTTTATCCTGTGCATAACTAAGTATCATAAAAACTCCAGCTGTCCACAGCCTTCTCATGGTTCTACCCAACCGTGGCTGGCAAACCTGTTAATGCTGACATTTATTTCAGTCTGTATGTACACTRAAATAAAAAAACAAAGTTTTTGAGAAGTTCCAAATTCAGGCATTTAATTTAGATTTAAAATAACTTTAAAATCTGCTTCACTATKCCAAATGCAATAAAATTCAGACCTCTTCTTTTAAATTAAAAAAAAAAAAGTGATCCAGTCAGTTTCTTTTTTTTAATCCACAGAAGCCCTTTTTCAAAGCATTTTTTACATAAGTATGAAAACCAGAGCAYAGTGGTTTTGGCTTCAGAGAAAAGAATAACATTGGTATATCACATATATACCACCCTAAAAGATATAAAGATCCTAATGGCCACGCCCTGCTCTCACCAAAACGCTTAGACTAAAAGAGCCATGTATTCTCCCAAGTCACCATCTCCTGAGACTTGAATTACAATGAATACAGATTCTAAAATACTTAAAGCAGGAAGAATCYTAGAAGACAGTAAGAATTGTACACACAGAATAAATCAAACATTTTCCTTTGCCTCAAAGTCAAAAGTTAACAAAGACAGGTACTGTGAAATGTTCTTTATCTTCCTCCAAAGAGCGCCTTCCTGCAATAGATTTGAAGGGTCAGATAATTTTCAAGTCTCTTATTGTGCAAAGTGTTSTGTTTGATCAAGGTGCTCCACGCCTGCCCCTTAGCACAGAATGGATTTTTGTTAAATACCTGCTGCCCAGTCCTAGGACTGTGAAGTCACTGAAGCCTCCTTTTAGGGGCCTGATGGTGTTAGGAATAAATTTTCCTTCACGTTCAGCACAAGCAGGTGAAAACAACCTCAGTTTTCCAGTTGCCTTCTCCCACCCCCASTACTTACCTGGAGAACTGGGCCCTTAACCAAATTGTCCTTCTAAGAGAATACATTCAGTGTAAGAAAATTTGGATTACAAATATTTGCTGCTTGATTTGGTCAATCAGTATGTGAAATCGCAAGTACTCCCTCAATCTTGTACTACAACATTGCCAGGCAACAGAAACACTGGTAGATTAATGGATCTATGTAAATTCATGTAAATTTTCCTCCACAGAACAAACATGCTTCTCCATCTGAATAAAATTAAACTATTTCTAGAGCTCTACCAGCACAGTCTAAGCTGCAACCTTTCCATAATGGGTGCCTTCCAACTCAGCTTATGCTGTGGTTTTGTGAATCTGTAATGAATAGGAAGAGGAACCATCTGGCCTCTGTCCCCATCCTCCATACCCATGAACAGCAGTGGAAAACCTTCCACTTTCAAGGATATCTTAGAATCCTTTAGTTTGGAAAAGCCCTCTGAGATCATTGAGCTCAACCTTTCCCCTAGCACTGACAAGGCCACCACTAACCCATGTCCCCCAAGTGTCACAACTACCTGTCTTGTGATGTGGAAGATCATACCCTTAACTGGAAGTTAAAACAATATTTGGCTGGAATGGTCTATGCCTATTTATCTTGCCAYAGCACAGATAAAGACCAAAAATTCCCATGCTCCAGCTTTATCCTCTCACAATTTTATCAGGAGAGAACTACCTCAGGGTGTAAATCCACAAAATACCTGAGGTGATCTGCAGAATAAAAATACCAGGTGCATGCTYTTCTAAGAAGTAACCAGAAGTCCTTTATCATTAGTTCAACATTCAGGATAGGGAAGAAAATGGACACAACTCACTTGAAAATTTTGAAAGTTATAGGAAAAATTATTGGAGAGCCTCAAGTAAAGTACAGACTCAAAAACAYATTTCTTATTGAAACAGGTACTGTCAGGGAACACAATGAATCTGGAGTCTCAATAACAATTTAGCCTTAGGCATCCAGAGAAWTTTTTTTCTTTTTGCAGAAATATTTACCCATGCCCCAAAAATGCCATTTAAGAAGTTATTTCTATATGGCAGACTTCAGACAAGGATATCCATTAATCAAGTCCTGATGTTAGGGGAAAATACGCACAGCTTTCTATTCCAGAAATCAGTGTAAAGTGGTTTTTTTTTTTGCTTTTAACAAGTCTGACTTTTTTTCCTGTCTCAAAAGTGATAAGTCAAGACTTGAAGTTTCCAGAAACCAATAGTTGGGTCATTGATAAATGATAAGCATCATTTATCATTATTTTTCCTTGTATAGGGAAGCAAACCTTTCATCTTTGGGATGGTGGCTTTTTTTTTTTTTTTTTTACTTTCATCTTTGGGATGGTGGCTTTTTTTTTTTTTTAATGTCAATTCCCAAAACAAGATGAGAATTCACCTGTTAGCTAATAAATCTCTGTTCATACAATTGCAGTGACTTTTGAAAGAAAAGGCTTGGCTTCTAACTGACCAATACCAACACAAAAAAGAACCCAATTAACTCTATTCATCCCCTTTTCAGGTTTGCTAGCATTGCATTTAAACTATTTGGAGATATTATCATGTTTCACCCTATGAAAAATTTGAAACCATCCCTGTCTGTTCAAGTTCTGCAAGAGGTCACTCTCCCAAATCTGTGTGTACCACCCAAACTGATATGCCAGGGTGTAAGGGAAGCCACGCTTACTTACGTAGGAACACTTTCAAACTCCTCTGTGGTTATTAGTGCTACTTCTTTAATGAGTTTTGTCTCTTTTGCAGGTTTCTTCACATGTTCRTTTTTTACAACCTTTTTCTGTTCTTCATGTTTCACAGTCGGCACCGCAATGCTGTAAAATGAAGGAATATTCAGTGTATAAATAGCAGAWAAGTAGTAAAGAGAATTACATTGCACTATCAAGTCTGCTTAGTCACGGACCTAAGTTCCAGCCCATCTGTTAGGTTGGATGAACACAATTAATGATATTTCACAAAAGAAACATCAATAAAGCAAGCCTACTCTGTTTCAAACCATCTCCTTCAGCTGACTTCWGCACAGCTCTTGGTTTCTCTGCTACAGAGGCTGCTAGCAGGTGAGTTGGAAGCAGTCCAAGTGCAGCATGGCGCAGCTCAGAATTCAATGTACCCTTACATTTCACACAACACAAGGCCTGGCTTTTTATCAGATAAAACACAGCACAGAGCTGCAGCCTTAACGGGCAGATTTGAAATACTTCACAGCTCTTTGAAACAGGTTCAAATCTTGGGAAGCCTGACTCATCCATTAAACTTCTGAAGCAAAGAAATTCAACACCATCGAGCAGACTTGGATTTTTTGTAATACTTTCAAATTTTTTTTTCAGGCAAGATTGCAAAGGTCAAAGAATTTCCTGATTTATTCCTGATTATTAGAGCATTATTTTCATAAATTCACTCTTCCTCTAAGCCTTTAGCTTAGAGCCCAAGAGATCTGCCAGACACCCACCTAGCTGCTCCTCAGCAGAACAGCAAAGACGGTGCATATATAAATCCACTGTCATCAGAACACATGAACATTATTGGGATGTGCAACAGAACTAACTGAAGCAGTACAGAGCTGACCCGGTACAAGGAACTGATCCTCTGCTTGGGTCTGACTTTCCCACAAGAGATCCTTGCTGGACATGGGGTCCCAGGACAGTGAATGGCACAGCAGTGTCCCATCTGTCAACCCCAGGGACAAGAATTTGAAGCGTCATTTGATGTGACACTGCCAAGCACAGTGTCCCATCCCCRAGGAAGACAAGTGCCATGGAGAGGACACCGAGTGCCACCTGCTGGGCTCCYGCATTGCCTGGTTGGTGACACAGGGACAGGAGCAGCTCTGCTCTGCACTATGATACAACACAGAGCCCTTCTGAAACCCAGGACATCTGCAGTGAAACTTATTTAGATGTCATCATCTGGAAAACATCTGTTTGCATCTGAGCAACAACAACAAAACAAATCCTGGCACTCTGCAGTTCGCAGGGAATGTCAGCAATGGGAAGGGGATGGAGAACGGATTTTGGGTGGTGGTAGAGGTGGGTTTGGAATGAAAGAATAAACACAAGAACCAAGGGAAGCAAGTTCATATCTTAAAACTTCATTCCTCTCTGCCTACTGCTCTCTATCACACTGCAACCTTTTCTAGATGATTCCCCACCTCCAGTCACCCCTCCTTTGTGTTTCCACCCACTCCCTTGCCCCTACGCTCCTGCAGTGACGTGCTACAGACACAGTTCGCTGACTGGAACCATGAAAAAAAAASCCCTGACATTTGTTTAGAAAATCTGGCTCTGGTGGAATGAGAAACTCTAAACAAACAGGTGGGTACAAAGAGCTTGAGAGATACTGAACTTTTTTTTAATTTCAGTGAGATTCCTCTAGTAAACAAGAGCAGAAAACCCAAGAATATAGGYGAGAAACAATAGCTAAAGCCACGAATTGTTCAGTTTCTTTGTGTGGGTGTTTCCATTCTCCTAGGGATTTTAAGGCCTGTCTCACTGACGCCTGATGATTTTTGCTTTTCCTTTTTACACTTTCTGTACCCTCTATGCATCCGCCTRTACCCCTTAGCYCACATGCTTGTAATTCCTGAAGCCTGATATTCCASCTTAGTTTAGGAGTTCTGCTGGGCAGAGGGACCAAACACCCTGAGGAAGGGATCAGCGTGCCCTGTACKATCTTAAACCCAAGCTCCAKCYTTGGGCAAAGCCTTCTCTCTGGAACATCTTGTGTAAACTGGGCTCTGGCCTCATCTGAGGAAGGATTCATTAGAATAGGGGGACATTGYTGCATCTGTTAAATTTCTWATTGGGGAATCCTAGATAATAYRCTAATTCCTGAAATCTATAAAACTTGKAYCCGTGCTATACCTRTGTGTGCATTCTGCCATCAAGTTGTGCACCKGGGATCCCAAATMCYRAGGTAAAACCCTTTTTATSCCCTTAACCRTGTCTGTGTCATTATTAAAAAMTGGCYTTTCAAGGCAACATCACCAGCATTCAAGTGTTCCTCTGCTTTCTGCATCATCTCACAAAATTCACTCAACAGCCCATCAGTACTCACAGCSCCACASATCTGGGGATACTGGTKAATAGAAATASAGGCTCAGTGCAGGAAAGCTTGGGRAAGAAGCCTGAAAATATATTTACAGATACAGTGGATTTTGAACAATCAAATTCCATCTTGTACTCCTTGACCCTCCATTGCACAACACAGTGAACACCAAAGAGTGACTAAATAGGGACAAAAGCAGAAAGTCTGCTTTAACAAGTGGCATCATCATACAATGTACTATTACTCAAAAAAAATCAACAGCAAACTGATGGAACAGCAGCTGTGATCCGGCASAGCACAATCTGTAGAAAATTATCTTAAAGGTTTTGTTGGTTTTACATATTGTAGCTCTCTCTAGAAAAGGAAGAACCAGCTAAAGTCATATCACAATTAACTTTGTGATCACAAGCAGGACAAGATTGTAAGGGAAACCAACAAACCAAGATTGTAAGGGAAACCAATCAGAGGTGGCAAAAATCACAAAACAAGCCTCATCTGCATCTAAACAATTTCTAGGGGGAAAACAATTTCTAACACAAACTTATGACAAAGGATTTCCTAAATTAATGAAATTACGACAGGAAAGGACAATTCAAGTGGTAATTCCTCAAGAACTTCAGTTYTTCCACACACACATACAAAGCAACATCTAGACTGAAAAGGAACAAGACACCTCTAGAGATATTTTGAGAGGCTGTTTCCTAAACTGAGGGTCCATGTCTAAAGGGTGGCAATAAGAAAAAAGCTTCTGTACAAGTCATGCCTTCACCAGCTACGAGTAGTTTCAATACAATACCTATACCAATGACAATACTGTTACACACCAATTAAAATCACAGTACATTTTTCTCTTCTGGAACCCTATTTCCACATGTTTAACATTTTACTCTGCTGGAATTATGTCTGTCATGTTTTGAGGCTGAGGCTTCTCTGGCACTAGGAATCGAATCAAGTAAAGCCGTAAATTCAGGGCACATATTGGAAGTGTTGAATTTAAACTAATGTATTGCCTTCTGACAAGCTATGAGCTGGGAAAGAAGTTCTGGGATYGCCATATACTACGATTCTGGAAGTGACCCCCACCTGGCATACATCACTTCAGAATAAAAAGCAGCTTCCAACAGGCCAGAGAAAGAGATGACAAACTCAGTCAGTTAAAATGTCTTAGAAGCCTTTTGAGTAACAGATGTTACTTCACATACTTGTCATTCTCACACACTTGAGCTACTTGACTTTGAAAAGCTTCTTACCACAGGCTTTTCCAAGGCTAGGGGGTATCATAGCTAGCTAAAATAAATATGAGGTTGCTGTAGGGAAAAGAGAACAAAAGTACCATAATTCAAAATCTCACAAAAAGATGATTGAGTTAGAGGATTTTTTAAGTTCTATTTGGAAGAGCACGGGTGAACTTCATTTCTAGTGAAGTGACCAATATTTAGGTCACTCACCCTTTAATCCATAGGCATTGCAGTTACAAAATCAGTGTGTTTGTGATTCTAAAGCAATGGATGCTCAGTCTCAGAGAAGCACTTGATTTCTACTACATCACTCCTACCCCTGGAAGCTCCCATTGGAACAACYTGGTTATTTTATAGATTTGACCTGAGAGATTTGTAGCACAAGCCTGGACAAGCCAAACTCCAGAATCAATACACACAACCATCTTGGTTCCCAAAATTTCACAGTTAACRTGGAATGAAAGGAGCACAGCTCCACAACRCTGAAGCTGRRCCCTGCCYRGAGCAGCCTGAGTCCTCCAGGTTTATGTACCACATACCAGTTCTGAGTTGGTTTAGGCAGATAGGGTGGAATGTGTTCAAGGAGGTGCTGTGCTTCATTTTGATCTCTCTCAGCAGCCTTCTGCATCTCCTGAAATTAATATGAGACTATGTCAGAGACCTGAAACTACTAACATAAAGCAAGTAAAATTAGGGCAATACTAAATTAATTTTCAGCTTTATTAAGAGGTGTCCTTTACTCTCCATCATCATCTTTACCTCCTTACCCCATAATTTCCCCACAGAAACTAGCAAAGATAAAAAGCAAGGAGTGTCTGTTCTTGCCCTTAGAATGTCAGAGAAATTTGGGCAGGCAAAAGGAAATTTAGTGACACACCCTCATCAAGGTCTGGTYAGGGGAATGGTGGTGTGTAGCAAAGGTACTACAGTAAACTCACATTCCCCAAACAACTCTTCTACAAAAGACTTATCAAATGAAGGCACTGCAAACACACACTAGAACCATGGATATACTTTTTGCAGCCATTGRAAAGATGTGGAAGTAGAATGGCTCTTTAGATCACAGTATTCTGATAAAGACATGTTTTCAAGACCAATGAGAAAGACATGCTTTTAAAGGCCTTAAGMTGAAGGAAAGTAGACTGAGATTAGATWTTAGGAATAAATCCTTCACCCTGAGGGTGGTGAGGCCCTGGCACAGGTTGCCYAGARGAGTKTCCAAGGCCGGGTTTGATGGGGCTTGGAGCACCCTAGGATAGTGGAAGGTGTCAATCCCCAGGGCACGAGCTTTAAGGTCCCTTCCAACCCAATCATTCTACAATTCTATGATTCTATGTAWAAGCTTTGAAAAATACAATTTTTAACATTTATTATGCTGAAGAACTACTTAACAAATTATCAGCAAGCCTGTTCCAAGCCCCACTTTCTCTTGTAAGCACATGCATCCAAACATCACCAAGGATCTAGGAAAGAAAACCCCTACAAACACATCAAAGATTTCTTTGAATCAGTATTTTATGAACAGAGAAAGAAAAAACATTACTTTTAGCAAATTTTTCAGTTTTTCTTGCTCTTTAATTTCAGTTTCCATTTTATTCAGGAGTTCATGCACAATGATCACCTCATTCCCTATTTTCTGGAATATAGATTTGCGGCATTGGTCTTCACCTGTCAAAGAGAAAATATTAAGCCACAAAATCTACAAGAAAAAAATACAAAATCTGATATTCTTCCCCTTCATAAGCAGTGGTTATCTAAYTCTCTGCTCTCCAGCCACCATATCCATCCAGAAGCAGAACCTCAAACTGCCARCCTTGTACTCCGCACTGCCAACAGAGTTCATGGAATCATTGTTTGGAAGTCTTCTAAGACCAGGTCCAACTATTCCCTCAGAGCACTGCCAAGGCCACTATTCACTTGTGYCCCAGATGTCACAACCACCTTGTTTTTAAATCCCTCCAGGGATGGGCACTCCAAACCTCCCTGGGCAGCCCCTTCAAGGCCTGGCCACCTTTTCCATGGAGAAATTCCTCCTCATGTCCCCCCTGCCCTGCCCCAGCCCAGCCTGAGGCCGTTCCCTCTCCTCCTGTCCCTGTTCCCTGGAGCAGAGCCCGACCCCCCCGGCTGTCCCCTCCTGTCAGGGAGTTGTGCAGAGCCACAAGGTCCCCCSDGAKCCYCCTTTGCTCCAGGCTGAGCCCCTTTCCCAGCTCCCTCAGCCGCTCCTGGGGCTCCAGACCCTTCCCCAGCTCCGTTCCCTGCCCTGGACACACTCCAGCCCCTCRATGTCCCTCTYGGAGTGAAGTGCAAACCAAACCCCCCTGTTTCTCCTGTTTACCTATGTCTCTTAATAGGAGRAACTTTTTAATATTTGAAATCTTCGCATTGATGTGGAAGCATAAATCTTCCAGGTCTGAGGACGCCATATCCTTCATCATCACGCTGAGGGGGAACAAAAATGAAGGCATGAAGTTAACRAAGACCCAAGTTGCAAAAACTGTGACAAAAGTAGAATTTTTAGAAGGATCSATATCTATCAAAGAAGCAAAGAGAATCTAAAAAAAATCAGTAAATCAAGTAATTTCCTTTTATCTTACTGAACTGAAGGCAGGAAGGCAAGCATAAAGTGACTGGCTCTAGACAAGCCAATAAATTTCCCAGAACTCTGGAGATAAAGGCAGTGTCATATCAGTGGAGTGATTCTTCATGAGACCAGAAGCATCCTTATTATAATGCCTGATGATTTTTGCTTTTCCTTTTTACACTTTCTGTACCCTCTTATGCATCTGCCTGTACCCCTTAGCCCGCATGCTTGTAATTCCTGAAGCCTGATATTCCAGCTTAGTTTAGGAGTGCTGCTGGGCAGAGGGACCAAACATCCTTAGGAAGGAGTCAGCGTGCCCTGTGCTATCTTAAACCCGAGCTACAGCTTTGGGTGAAGCCTTCTGTCCAGAACATCTTGTGTAAACTGGGCTCTGCCCTCATCCAGGGTGGGATTCATTAGAATAGGGGGACATTACTACATTTGTTAAGTTTCTTATTGGAAAATCCTAGATAGATATGCTAATTCCTGAAATCTATAAAACTTGGACCCGTGCTATACATGTGTGTGCATTCTGCCATCCAAGTTGTGCACCTGGGATCCCAAATACCGAGGTAAAACCCTTTGTATCCCCTTAACCATGTCTGTGTCATTATTAAAAACTGGCCTTTCAAGGCAACAATTACACTGAAGTATCTATTTGTTAGTATAACTACTGCAAATTCAAGAAATAGCTGGTTTATATAAGGCAGATTTAGAAGGCTCTCTCAGGGAGATTACATCAGATGACCGATGTTTAAAGACATGTGTGTAATTAAGCAAAATAAGAGAAGTGAAACCAGAGTTAATAGAGGAGTCTAGAGGCAGCAAAAAGAGCTTTATATATCGACTGCCTATGGTCTGTAATAATAAATTTACTAACCCCACCATAGACAAGAATTGATGCTAAAAAAGGTTATAAAACGTGACAAACCCCCAGCACTCAACACCATAACCCGGTACTGCGCGCTCGCAYAGCTCCCTCCGGCGGCTCACACCTGGAAACTTTTTTAAAAAGTTTTTGTTTCGCTTTTGGCTTAAAATACTATCAACCACCGCACTTATTAAATCCATTCTTAGACACTGCCGCTTTGCCTACCCTCCWTACCTCCGAGGAACCAGGGCAATCCGAGGACAGGGATACCCTGAAGGGATCGACGTCACCCGCTGCGCGCGGCGGCAGTGCCCGCTTCTCCTCAGGTTTTATMGGACGCACCGCGAGTGTCTCCCCGTTCCGGTCCCACTCTCTGAGCCGCGGGGGCCGGAGCCGCTCGACCGGGGCAGGAGGACGCTGGGCCGGGAAAGGAGGAGGGCGCGGCTCCCGGGGCCCAGCTCGAGCTCCGTTCGAATCCGCCGCGCTCGGGCGGGCGCTGGGGAGGGCGGAGCGCGCCTGCGCACTGAGGGGAGAGCGAGGGACGGGCGGAAAGGGCGGAGCGGAGGCATCGCTGAGGAGAAACAGGGCGGAACGGGCGGGAGTCGGGGAGCTGAGGGGAGGGCGTGGGGGGCATACGGCGTGGCGCTGAACGAGTGAGAGTCGGGACCATCTCCCAGACAGCCAGTGATAGGACAAGGGGRCGTGGTTCAAGCTGCGGCGGAGGTGGGCCAGGTTGGACATCAGGAGGAATTTCTTGATGGAAAGGGCGTTCAGGTACTGGGAGGGAGTGTCCGGGGAGGTGGTGTGGTCCACATCGCTGGAGGTGTCCAAGGAACGCCTGGACAYGGCAGTCAGTGCTCTGGTCTGGGTGACAAAGTGGTGATCAAAGGTTGGACTCGGTCTTGGACATCTSTTCCAACCTTTGACTGTAATTCTGTGGAGGGAGCGGAAGGGCCGAAGGCGGGAGCTGAGGGGAGCACGAGTGCTGAGGGTGTTGTCGACTGTAGGAGCTTTATGAACACAGACAGAGGTCACCTTAGAAAGAAGACATTGTTTATTCAGTGCACCGTACAAGGTGGACGTACCTACAAATCAACCCCATCAAGGATAAAAAGTTACATCTATTCTACAGTAAAATTCACGTGAACACGCCCACTTACTACACATTCTCCGCCCACTTGCAGCACATTTATTTAGGTGATGTAATTCTAACGCACGGCTTGAAACACAAGTTCTTCACTAAGCAAACTTCTCTTGTGCAAATAATTTAACATACGTTTACAAAAGGCGAAGAAAAAACTAAAAGACATCAAAGACGACAGGAGGGGGACGGAGAAGGAAGGGAAGGGCGTCAGGCGGAGCAGAGCTGAGGGAAGCGGGACAGAAAGGGCAGGAGCGGGGAAGGATGGCGGAATCACTGAGAGGAGCGGGAAGGGAAGGGGAGGCGGGATCGCCGAGGAGAACTGGACGGGAAGGGAGACGGGAAGGAAGGCGGGATTGCTGAGGCGAGCTGGGCGGGAAGAAAGGCGGGATCTGTAAGGGGAGCTGGGCGGGAAGGAAGGCGGGATCTGTGAGGGGAGCTGGGCGGGAAGGAAGGCGGGATCGGTGAGGGAAGCTGGGCGGGAAGGAAGGCGGGATCGGTGAGGGAAGCTGGGTGGGAAGGAAGGCGGGATTGGTGAGGGAAAAGCTGGGCGGGAAGGAAGGCGGGATCTGTGAAGGAAAAGCTGGGCGGGAAGGAAGGCGGGATTGGTGAGGGAAAAGCTGGGCGGGAAGGAAGGCGGGATCTGTGAGGGAAAAGCTGGGCGGGAAGGAA